AAAAATTCTTTACACTATAGGATATCTAAATAATTCTCTTTTCTTGTCAAAATCTGCTAAGGCTGATTCAATTACTTTATAATCCAATTGACAAGACAAATTATTTTTCTCTACTCTTATCATAATAGTATCAGTAAATAATTCACTTATGTTTCCAAAATTATATCCAAAGCATTAAATAATTGTATCCTTTTCATCAAAGTCCACAAAGACAGGTTCAATTACTTTAGAACACCCTTTGACAAGACAGGCTATTCTCCTTATCTCTATCAAACTCACTTTAAAGTATCACCTGTTATGGCTAAACTACCAGTCACTCAGTCTAGATCTGTCTAATTATTTCTCACTTAACTTTTCTCTACTTTCTTCTCTTTTTTATTTGTACTCACTTGGTAACCTATATATAACTATGCGACACTAAAATGGAACAATAATCAGTTAAGATAACAAGAAAAACACTGATGATTCGAGTAACGTGATGTCAACAATATTAATAAAGCCTAATCAATGTAATTGCAAACACAAAGTATGACTCTTACAGAGTTACGTAGCGAAGTTTGTCACAACTAACACTTCTAAAACAATCAATCTTCAACACTCTTGTCATGAAAACAAAACAATCATTAAATATTATGTCACCAAATAAAACTAAATAATAACGCTTAAACTGTAAGTCACATATCCTACAGAGTGTGAACCATTACAGATAATACATAATGGCTCAACATTACAGTCAATACTCTTACCATTACAGATAGAATATTGACAGGATTCATGAAAAATCTAAATGGTTTGGAAGTATATAGCTGCATAGGATATTTTAACTTGGAAAGAATTTTCTCCTCTTGAGGAACTTAAGGCATTATGGGGTAACTTTGATGAAAGTAAAAGAAACTCTCTGTCTTTAGGCTCACATGTTTTGGCTAGTATAGTTTGCAAGCCCCTCTGGGCAAAGAAAGATAATATTTTCCACATAGATGTGTCAGGTATGGAATGGAAGATAGAGAATGAAGGCACTTGTGGTTGTTAAAATAAGGTGATGAAAAAACATGAGTATAGTCTTTGGTTTGGGGCATCTTCAAAGTCTTGCTCAAGATTTTGAAGGTTAAAACATCCATGAGGTTATAGTGAAATGCACAGTCCACTGACCTCACAAACAAAAAGAGTTCTACAAAGGTTCATATATCTATGTCAATGTTTTGAAGAAACACTATGCCCAATCACATGACACCAGATACAAAAGAAGTCAAATGGATGTGCCCAATTGATTAGCCATTATTGAGCAGTCAACTGACTCAATGGGGGAGGCCAGATTCAAATTTCTACAGAAATTACACTTAATCCTGGTGTCAATCAAATTAAATGATCCTTCCCTTCTTCAGATAACACAGATAAATGTTCATATTTCAGAAGAGGTAAGCTGCACAAGCTTATCCTTCCCTACGAGGTTTATTCACCATAAACACTATTGCACATGAAATTAAAGTTGTATACAAAGATCATAAGATAAAAAAGAAAACTTCTAAACAGAGAGATAACGGATAGATATATATCCATGAACAAAGTTGAGTCCTCACCAAACACTGAAACTACAAGAAATTGAGTGAAAAGTACTGTTTTCAATGAGGATGTAGTACATGAGATGGAAAACTAGCAACAAAGACCAAAAGTTAACCTTACCTAAATGGAAATCTCAAATTATTATAAAAGTCTGAGAATAAAGCACTATTTAAATGCAACAGTACTTGTTTGTTAAAAAAAAGGAATACGAGCATCATTATAACAACAAAAATCAGATTATATCGCTGATATACAACTCTTCCAGGCCCATGTTTATTTTGAAGACAGCCAAAGGAAACCACCAATGCCAGACTTAAAAAAATTAATGCTATAATGGGAGAAATACACCACCCCTTCCACTATTTTGAGACATAAAAGCCAAACCATTCAATCCATACATAGAGAAAAACCCAGGAGGGATATGATTCTGAATGGAACTGAAATAAAAAAGTGAAAGTGGTCAGTTAAAATTTTCCAATTTGTAAATTATCAGAAAGTTTGAAAAAAATTATACTTCGCCAAATTAATATTACTGTAACAATATTTTTTGTCGAAAGAAGTCTGTATAAAATACTGAACTGTTGTTTCATTATGAATATTCAATAATTACTTACATTAAGGTCTCTGAAAGGATGAATGAGGATTCCAAAGGGTAATCGAGATTTTTGAAGCAGTGAATGAGTCTCTGGAATTTTTGTTAGAGTACATCTGAAAATGCTGTTAAAAGAATATAAACTATTTTAGAAACAAACTTTGATATTAATTATAAAATTTTCAAGAAAACAAACAGTCATCTGAATTGTGTAAAAAAACAAATGTGAAGATTGCAAGTAACTCTGTCAAAGTAATACTCTTAGCTAAAAACAAAATAAATGCAATGATAAAACATCAAAACTCCAAATTATTCATACCAATGAAAAGGTCTTTGTGACAGATTTATTATTATTATTTTAATATCAATTGTTTAGTTTAAATTAAATTAAATTATTTAATAAATAGTACATAA